TAAATAGTTAGGGGAGTGAACCCCTTACACTTGAGAGGTCACCAAATTCGTAAGAAAATTTGGAGTGAAGATTTGTAAGGCATCAAGAGGAAAGTCTTGAAAGATTGTAGTGGTTTGTCAAGCACCATCAAGCTAGGTAGCTAGTGCAAAGGTTTGATCGAGCGACTTCAGTCTGGATGTAGGTCATGGTGGTGGTGGTCGAACCAGGATACATATAGTTTGCAATATCTCTAACCTTAAACTCCTTACTTTAGTATTGAAATTGCATTTTTAGATTGTGTTTATCCATTAGCTTGCTTACTTTATTGATCACACACTTGCTCTCACTCTTAGATTTTTCCTTATTAAATCACTTTATTGAAGAAACACTCTTTAAAATATCAAAGGAGGCACTTTGTGAAAAGATTTTGTAAAACTCAATTCACCCCCCTCTTGAGTATTGAAGCCACTTGTCCAACAAGTGGTATCAGAGCTTGAACTCTTGTGTAAAGAGCTTAACCGCTTCAAGAGAAGGGATGGCTTCTTTGAACCATGATATGCCCCTTGAGGGTTCTTCTTGTCACAACCTTTGATTATTCCAGTATAGAGAGAATATCATATATATATATATATATATATATATATATATATATATATATACATATTATTTTTATATTTAATAATGATAATAAATAAATAAGAATATAAAAAAATAAATCTAGAAAGGTTAACTAGAAACATTAACATCCTTCATTTATTACACATGGATGTAAGTTAGTACAAATATCTTACATTCTAAATATTTTACATCAGTTCCACACATATATTACACTCCTAACTACATTAGGTTACACTGTTTATTCATTACATACTTCTCAATCTAGTCTAGCCTATAGGTATAGGACTCCACACTGTCTGCATGGAATATGGCTGCTGCTCCTTGGTTTCCAACTGTTATGTAAAATTCCCAACGATCGTCATAAAAATAAACATTCACAGTCCATCCTTCTCAGGAAAAAGATAAGTTAGGCATGATGATTTTCTGGAAAGATTAGCACAAAATAAACAATGTGAGATAATTCTCAGTAATATTGAGATGTTTAAACTATAACCATTTCCAGCCATAATAATGGAAAATATCAATCTCTCAAGTTTATTTCATAACTGAAATAATAACATAAATAATAAATAATAATAACAAATTGTGTAATATTTAACTGAAACCAATTTAATTCCTAATTTTGTGGGTCTCCTACTTGTGAAAAGTTATGATATGACGGAGCTCAAGCCATGATAAGGCGTCCTTTACCCTAACTATCTGATCCCAAACTTTTAAGGGTCAGTTCATAGTAGTAACATACAGTTAAAATTTACACATCCTCTTAATATTTATTTGGTACCAAATAATTTATTGTATCTTGTTACTAAGGAAAAATCTAAAATTTGATGAAAATCACAATAACATGAGAGGTAGAATAAAATTAAAAGAAAGATTAAAGTAGGATTATAGATGCAATAATATAAAATAAGAGAAGAAATAAAATAAACTATTTTGACAGAATAACAGCATTACAAATTTGTAAAAGAATATAACTAGAAGGAAGAAATAGAGAGAAAGTTTTACTCTCTCAATATTACCTTTCGATTATTCTATCTCCGTCTTCTTCCTATTTATTACTCTTGGTGAAGAATTTCTTCAATCTTTCTCTCTTCTTCTAACAGCGCCTCCCTTCCTAAACTTTCTTTATTATCCCCATGAAAGTGACATTCCTTATCTATATATATATAGCTACGTTTTTGGCTGATTCATTCTTTTTTTTTTCTTACATCATTTAACTTACTTCATTTGCTTGCATCATCCAATTCTAGTACATTGTATTGATGGCTTGGAGGGGGGTGTTCCACGTGGCCCCTTCCTTGCCATATATATCTATGATATTATCCATGCATTAATTTAAAATAGATAATATTTATTCAATCAAATTTTTTTTATAGATAATAACTACAGTATTATTATTTATTAATAATAATTTAGGAGGGTGTAGTAATATATTTAACTAAAAATAATTTATTGTTATTATAATAAGAATTTTAAATAAATAAATAAATTATACATAATTTAATATTTATTTATTTATTACTAATACTAATTTATTTGTAGCCAACACATTAATATTATTGTTAATAATTTATTTATTCATTTTCTATTATTATCAATGTTATTACTATTTTTATTTTATTTTTATTTTTACTTTATAAATTATTACTTTGATTATTATTATTATTATTATTTTATTTTTATCTGGTTATTACATTTCTCCTCTCCTAAATAAAATTTTGCCCTCAAAATTTAGACATACCTTCTAAAAAAATTCTGGATAATTTTGTCGTAACTCTTCTTCTTTTTCCCATGTGGCTTCGTGTGGAGAAAGTCTTTCCCAACGTACTTTAATTAACGGAATCACCCTATTTCGTAGTTGTTTTAAATTTTTGTCAAGGATTTGAGTTGGCCTTGTACTAATAGGCAGATTCTCTTTAACTTGTACTGAGTCCATATCGAGAATGTGAGAAGGATCTGGGACATACTTTCTAAGCTGAGAAACATGAAAAACACTGTGGAGGTTGGAAAGATGAGGCGGAAGAGCAAGTTGGTAAGCAACTGGCCCTATTTTTCGGAGTATTTGAAACGGACCAATATACCTAGGACTCAATTTTCTAACTTTGAGAATTCTGTCTACACCTGTGGTAGGGGAAAGTTTAAGAAGGACATGTTCTCCTTCTTCAAAAGACAAAGGTTTTCGCTTGTTATTAACATAATTTTTCTGTCTGCTTTGTGCCTTTTCTAACATAATTTTCCTTTATCATCTGAATTTGTCTCGAGGTTTCTTGGACTAGTTCAGGTCCCAATAACTGTTTTTCTCCTTTTTCATACCAACATACTGGAGATCTACACTTTCTTTCATATAGTGCTTCGTATGGAGCCATTCCAATACTAAAGTGGTAACTATTATTATAAGCAAATTCTATTAATGGCAGATACCTATCCCAACTACCTCCTTGTTCAAGGATGCAAGCTCTCAGCATATCCTCTAAAGTTTGAATGGTTCTCTCAGTTTGACCATCAGTTTGAGTATGATATGTTGTACTAAGTCTCAACTTAGTTCCAAAGGCTTGCTGTAAATATCCCCAAAATCTAGAAGTAAATCTAGGGTTTCTATCTGACACAATACTTAGAGGTACCCCATGAAGTTTGACAATTTCTTTTATATACAGTTGGGTTAACCTCTTAATAGAATATTGAGCCTTAATTGGTAGGAAATGAGCAGATTTGGTTAATCGATCAATGATTACCCAGATTGCATCATACCCCTATTGGGTTCTTGGTAAACCCATCACAAAGTCAGTAGCTATACTTTCCCACTTCCATTTTGGTATGTCTAATGGTTGAAGTAATCCTGAAGGCTTTTGATGTTCAATTTTCACTTTTTGACAAACTAGACATTTTGAAACGTACTCAGCAATATCCTTTTTCATTCCTGGCCACCAAAATAACTTTTTCAAATCTTGATACATTTTGGTGGAGCCAGGGTGAACTGTAAACTTACTGCTATGTGCCTCATTCAAAACTTCTTTCATTAATTCTTCCTTCTTAGGTACAACAATCCTTCCTTGAAATTTCACCAAATCATCTTCCCCTTTGGTAAATCCTTCATGTTTCAAAGATTTTTCTAAACTAGAATCTTCTTGTTGAGCTTTTCTAATTTTATCTATCAACTCATTATCTATTTTTATTTCACTAATACCTAAACTTTGAGGCAATACAGTCACAGATAATTTCATATCTCTAAATTTTTCCAACAACTCCATTTCTTTGATCATTAAATGTGACATGTGAAGAGATTTCTGCTTAAAGCATCAGCTACCACATTAGCTTTTCCTGGATGGTATTTAAGTTCAAAATCATAGTCTTTCAAAATTCCACCCACCTCTTTTGCCTCATATTCAGTTCTTTTTGGTCAAATAAATATTTAAGACTCTTATGATCACTAAAAACCTCAAACTTGACTCCATACAAATAATGTCTCCAAATCTTAAGGGCAAAAACTACTGCAGCCAATTCTAAATCACGAGTTGGATAATTTTTCTCGTATGGTCTCAATTGTCTTGATGCATAAGCTACGACTTTTCTTTCTTGCACTAGGACACATCATAATCCCTTCTTAGATGCATCACTGTAAATTTTAAATTTTCCTAAAGAATCGAGGATTATTAAAATTGGTGCAGATGTCAATTTATTCTTCAAATCTTGAAAACAATCTTCACATTCTTGTGTCCAAACAAAAGGAACTCATTTTCTAGTTAACCTAGTTAAAGGTAATACTAGTTGTGAAAATCCCTTAATAAATCTTCTGTAATATCCTTTCAATCCTAGAAAACTCCTGATCTCAGTGATAGTCTTAGGTCTCTCCCAGTGTATTACAGCCTCAATTTTACTAGGATCAACTGTCACTCCTTCTTTTGAAATAACATGCCCTAAGAACTTAACTTCTTCCATCCAGAATTCACATTTTGAAAGTTTGGCATATAATTGCTTATCTTTCAAAATTTGTACTACTATCCTTAAATGCTCCTATTTATTCTTGGAATATATTAAAATATCATCTATGAACACCACTACAAAATTGATCTAGGCAAGGTCTAAAAATTCTATTCATATAATCCATAAATACTGCTGGAGCATTTGTTAATCCAAAAGGAATCACTAGATATTCATAATGTCCATACCTAGTCCTAAAGGCTGTCTTTGGAATATCTTCAGTCTTAATTTTGATCTGGTGATATCCTGACCTTAAATCTATTTTAGAAAATATTGTGGCTCCTCTCAACTGATCTAAAAGATCATCTATCCGAGGTAAAGGATATTTATTTTTAATGGTGACTTTGTTTAGTTGTCTATAATCCACGCACAACCTCATACTTCCATCTTTTTTGTTGATAAAGAGTACTGGTGCTCCCCAAGGTTACACACTTGGTCTGATGAACTGTTTTGATAGAAGTTCCTCTAATTGTTTCTTTAGTTCTACAAGCTCTACAGGTGACATCCTATAGGGTGCAATAGAAATTGGCCCTACTCCAGGTATTAGGTCAACGGAAAATTCAATTTCTCTGTTTGGGGGTAAACCTGGAATTTCATCCGGAAAAACCCCTAGGTATTCAGAGACAATAAGGATATTGGTTGCATCAGGTTTAGCCTTTGCTTCTGAAAGATTAAAGAGAACATATCCTTGTGCTCCATCTAACAAATTTTTCCTAAGTTGAGAAGTTGACAAGAATAAAGATTCATTTGGGAGTTCTGACTCTTTTGTGAAAATTATCTTTTTATTATGACAATCAATGACCACACAGTTTGCAGACAACCAATTCATACCAAGGACTACATCAATGTCAATCATAGGTAAACAAACTAAATCTATTTTAAACTATTTCCCTTCAACTTGAAAAGGACAATTTTTACAGACTTGAAATGTGGTAATTTTCTCTCCAGTAGGAAGAAAAATTTCAAGATAAGAAGATATAATGGATATTGGTAATTTTAACTTTTGAGTAGAAGATAAGGATATAAAAGAATGAGTAGCTACAGAATCAAACAGTACAGTTATAAGAGAATCTTGTATTAGACCAGTACCTTGAACCAAATTTGAAGTTTAAGCCGCTTCCTGACCACTAAGAGTGAAAACTCTTCCTCTTGTTGTAGTTTGAGTTGATGAATTCTGACCTTGATTCTGAGGACACTGGCTCAACATATGTCTAGGCTTCCCACACTTAAAGCATACGCCTTTTTCTGCTAGGCATTCTCCAACATGATTCTTTTTGCACTTTGGACATACCTGAATCTGAGAATTCATTTGTCCTATATTCTTCCTTCCTCTGTTGTTAGCAAAGTTATTCCCTGAGTTTTGTGCCTGTGATAACCTCCCTTTGTTGTTGTCATCATTCTTTCTTCGACTTGAAACTCTGTCTTTCTCTCTTCCCTCCTCAGCTTCCTTCATGCTTGCTTCAATGTCTCTGCACCTATTTATTAATGATTAGAAATTCCTGATTTGGTGTCCTATTATCATACTTTTTAGTTCAGAGTTTAGTCCAGATTCAAATTTAGTTGTTAACCATTCTTCATTAGGTTGATTCTGTACATAATTAGAATATCTGGATAATTCTTCAAATTTTGTCACATATTCTCCAACAGTCATGTTTCCTTGTTTCAGTTCAAGGAATTCTATTTCTTTTCTGTTTCTTACACTCTGAGGAAAGTATTTTTCTAAAAAGGCATCTTTAAAAATTGTCCAAGTAATCTCTGTTCCTTGGCTTTGGAAATATCTTTT